CTGTTAATCATTTGCATTTTCATACCAGATATGCCAAATCAGAATTTATATCTTAACAAGATCTCCAGATGATTCTTATAGAGCCTCACACACATAAGAATCACCTGGAAACTTGTTAAAATGTAGGTTTTGATTCAGTATATCTGGCGTGGTTGTTAAGTGTTGTCCAGTGACCCTGTATAGGGTTTCCCAGGAACACTGGTGAGTTTGAACCACTAGCCTTATGGTTAGCAGTCCAGTGCTTATCCTACAGTGCCACACCAGGACTCTATATATCTGGGGTAGAAATACAAATTTTCAGCTGGGAGTTAAACCGGAATGGACTGACTTGAAGTCCTGCTGGGAAATCATTTGTCTCATGATAATCCCTGCCATTTCTGGACAGGTCCACCTATCAAATGTTTATTTTTTATGTTATTGTTGTTAGGTGCTATTGAGTCAGTTCCAATTCATAGTGACCCTATGCGTGAGAACAAAATATTGCCCAGTTCTGTACCATCCTACTGTTGCTGTTTGAGCCCACTACTGTAGTCTCTGCGTCACTCCATCTCATTGAGGGTCTTCTTCCTTTTCTCTGGTCCTCTACTTTACTAAGCATAATGTCCTTCTAGTTCGTCTTGATAAGGTGTCCAAATTATGTAAGACAAAGTCTCACCATCCTCCCTTCTAAGGAACATTTTGGCTGTACTTCTTCCAAGACAGACTTATTCATTCTTCTGGCAGTCCATTATTTGCCACAACATATTCAAATGCATCAATGCTTTTTCATAGCAACCCTCCATCTACAAGGAGCTCTGACAGCACAGTGGTTATGAGTCGGACTGCTAATCTCAAGGTCAGCAGTTCAAAAATATCAGCCGTTCCACAGGAGAAAGATGAGGCTTTCTGCTCCTGTAAAGACTTACAACCTGTGTACAGGATTGCTATGAGTCAGAATGTGAGTTTTCCCCACTTCTATTTCAAAAGTTTGTTTCTAGTAAGCAATTTTGAGGTTATAGGCTACCTGCTTATCCTCTCCCAACTGAAAGAAAGAAAATACCATCACATTGGGCAGTGAAAATTTGTCAGGAAGTCAGCATACCTTCCTTGCTCTGAATATACACCAACCATAACAGCTAAATGTCAAGCCACTGAGCTCTCCCTTTCCTCTATTCCTAACCTGCAGTTCACCCTTCCTCTTCTCTTTTCATCACATATTTTATCCACCACATTCCCTACCCCAGATCATTTACAACTATCCTCTTCCTGTCTCATATTAACTCCTATGAAACATTCAACCATTTCAAAAACCCTCTCTCTTACCCATTAACTCCTGCATTCCTGGCAAGTAGAAACTTTCTTTTTCAGCTCAACTTCCATACCATGAGAACACCTAAGAATTCTTCTTTTTCTCTCAAAACAAAGCTCCTCTTTGTACCCTTGATGCCATTTTTTCCTGCCCCTTTCAGTACAACCCTCCTCTGTGTTCTTAATCACTATCTCTTACCTTGCTCCTTCACTAGAGATGTTTGCTCTCTCTCTCCCACTTCAATCTCTCCCACTCTAGCTACTGTGCCCTCTCACAGTAACTTTCGGGGTCTCCTATTTTAAAAAAATAAGAAAAAGAAAAAATTTCTCCTGACTTTTCTTTATTCAAAGCTGTTGTCTTCTTTCATTTTGTCCTTTCTCATCAGCAATTTGTTGAACTAATATTAATAGTTGTAGCTAGTTAAGAAACCACCACTCATCTGTCAGTTTGTCACACTGTGGTGGCTTGCTTGTTACAGTGATGCTTGAAGCTATGTTAACAATATTTTAAATACCAGCAGGGTCACCCATGGTGGACAGGTGTCAGCTGAGCTTTCAAACTAAGACAGACTAAGAAGGAGAACAGGACGACTTTTGAATACCTAACCACTGAAAACATTATGAATAGCGGTGGAACACTGTAAGATAGCTCCAGAATATTGAATACTGAAATAGGTATAAATAGCTGAATAAATACTGAGGTTCAGTATAAATAGCACCAGAATATTGTCATATATAGTGCTGGAAGATGAGCCCCTCCGTTTGAAAAACACTCAAAATATGACTTGGAAAGAGCTTCCTTCTCAAAGTAGAATTGACCATGATAATATGAATCTAGAAAAGCTTTTGGGACCTTCATTTGAAGATGGGCCACAACTCAAAATGAGGAGAAAGGGCTGTCAGTAATAATAATAATAATCAGAAAATTAGTATCAATCTAAGAAAATTAGAAGTTGTGAAAATTAAATGGAATGCAGTAAAAGCAGTATGTTAGGCATTACTGAGCTGAAATGGACTGCTACTGGCCATTTTGAATCTTATAATCATATAGTTTACTATGATGAGAATGAAAAATTGAAGAGGAATGGTGTCACATTAATCATAAAAAAGAATATTTCAAAATCTATCTTGAAGTATAATGCTGCCACTGATAGGGTAATATCCATTTGCATACATGGAAGACCAGTTAATACCACTATTATTCAAATTTACACACCAACTGCTAAAGCCAATGAGGATGAGACTGAATAATTCTACCAACTTCTTCAGTCACAAATTGATCAAGTATGCAATCAAGATGTGTTCATAATTCCTGGTGATTAGAATGCAAAGGTTGGAAACAAAAAGAGGAAGGATCAGTCATTGGACTCAGTGATTAGAAATTATGCTGAAGATGGCATGATAGAATTTTTGAAGACCAATAACTTATTCATTGCAAATACCTTTTGAAACAACATAAAAGACAACTATATGTATATATATAGAGATCCACTAGAAGGAGCTCTGGTAGTGTAGTGGTCAAGAGTTGGGCTGCTAATGTCACGGTTAGCAGTTCAAAACTACCAGCGGTTCCATGGGAGAAAAATGAGGCTTTTTGCTCCTTCTGTGCATAGGGTCACTATGAGTCAGTACCAACTCGATGGCACCTAACAACCATAACAACAACAAAGATGTTCAACCTCAGAAACCCTGTATAGAGTCACTATGAGTCAGAACTGACTCTATGGCACATAACCACCACTGAAATCAAATTTACTACAACAGTGGGAATGAATGGTGTAAAAGCTCCATATCATCAGCCTAAACAAGGCCAGGAGCATACTGTAGAACAGACCATCAATTGTTCTTATCCAAGTTCAGGCTGAAGCTCAAGAAAATTAAAACAAGTTCACGGGAGCCAAAATATAACCATGAACAGATCATACCTGAATTTAGAGACCATCTCAAGAACAGATTTAATGCATTAGACACTGATTATCAAATATCAGAAGAGTTATGGGATTGCATCAAGAATATCATATAGGAAGAAAGCAAAAGAAAGAAGAAAAGATTAAAACGAATGTCAGAAGAGACTCTGAAATTTATTCTCCAGCATAGAGGTGCTAAAGTAAATGGAGGTCACAAGGAGAAAAAAAGCTGAGTAGAAAATTTCAAAGTATAACTCAAGAAGAAAAAGTCAAGTATTATAATGAAATGTACAAAGATCTAGAGGTCGGAAACAAAAAGAGGAAAAACACACTCAGCATTTTTCAAGCTGAAAGAGGTGTAGACACTATTCAAGCCGCAACTTGAAATACTGAAGGATTCTATGGGAAACATTTTGAATGATGCAAAAAGCATTAAAAGAAGATGGAAGAAACACAGTCACTGTACAAAAAAAGAAATGTTGACATTCAACTATTTCAAGAGGTAGTATATGATCAAGAGCAATGATACTGAAGGAAGAATTTGAAGGTGCATTGAAGACTCTGGCAAAGAACAAGGCTCCAGGAATTGATGGAATATAAGTTGAAAAATTTTCAACAAATTGATGCAGCACTGGAGGCACTCACTCATCTATGCCAAGAAATTTAGAAATCGGCTACCTAGCCAACTGAATAGAAAAGATCCATATATGTGCCCATTCCAAAGAGAGGTGACCCAAAAGAATGAGGAAATCATCATTGGACAATATCATTAATATCACATGCAAATAAAATTTTTGCTCAAGATAATTCTTAAAAAGCTGAAACATTACATTGATAAGGTACTGCCAGCGGTTCAAGTCAGATTCAGACAAGGATGTAGAACAAAGAGTATAATTGCTGACATCAGATGGATCTTGACTTAATGCAGAAAATACCAGAAAGATGTTTATCTGTGTTTTATTGGCTATGGAAAGGAGTTTAATTTTGTGGGACATGACAAGTTATGGATAACATGACAAAGAATGGGAATTCCAGAATACTTGATTGTGCTCATGCAGAACCTGTACACAGACCAAGAGGCAATTGTTAGAACAGAACAAGGGAACATTGCTTAATTTAAAATCAGGAAAAGTGTGTATCAGTGTTGTAGTCTTTCACCATACTTACTCAACCTGTATACTGAGCAAATCAGAGAAGTTGCATTATATAAAGAAGAACATGGCATCAGGATTGGAGGAAGACTTATTGACAACCTGTGATATGCAAATGATACAACCCTGCTTGCTGATAGTAAAGAGGACTTAAAATCCTTACTGATGACAATCAAATACCACAGCCTTCAGTATGGATAGCACTTCAATGTCAAAAATAAGCAAAAATCTTCACCAATGAACCAAGTAACATCATGAGAAAGGGAGAAAAGATTGAAGTTGTCAAAGACTTCATTTTGCTTGGATCCACAATCAGCACTCATGAAAGCAACAGTCAAGAAATCAAGCAACATATTGCATTAAGCAAATCTGCTGCACAACACCTCTTTAAAATACTTAAGAGCAAAGATGTCAGTTTGAGGACTAAATTGCACCCCACCCAAGGCATGGTATTTCAATAGCCTCATATGCATGTGAAAGTTGAACAATGAGTAAGGAAGATCATAGAAGAATTGAAACATTTGAGTTATGGTGTTGGAAAATAATATTAAAAGTACAGGGTCTGGAGAGTCTCAGTCTGCCGCGAACCCCGAGTTCTCCGCGCTTTGACTCTCTTCGTTTCTGGTTTGTCGCCGCCGCCGCCGCCACCGCCGCCATGGCCGAAGCTGACATTGCACTGATTGGACTGGCTGTCATGGGCCAGAACTTAATTTTGAACATGAACGACCACGGCTTTGTGATCTGTGCTTTTAACAGGACGGTCTCCAAAGTTGATGATTTCTTGGCCAACGAGGCAAAGGGAACCAAAGTGGTTGGTGCTCACTCTTTGAAGGAAAT